GGCATCTCAAGTCGGAGATGGCCTCATCGAGGTTTAGGGCTTAAGGTTTAGGGTTTAGGATTTTTTTGGCCTGAATTTCCCTTTAATAAGTTCTAACGAAGTAGCAAAATTCAGTTTTACTAATATTTGTAAAGTCATAGAGTGTTTAACTAAGCCAAAACATAATAATTATAGGATAATAATTATTAACTAGATTAGAAGAAGTCATTATATGGACTTAATTGAGGAGGTAGCTAAGAAGATGAGACCATGTCCATCAAATTCGTGTCCATTGTGCTTCCAAAGGTTGTACCTTAATTAATTGTTGGCAGATTTGTTGTTGAATTTATGCTTCCAGCATTGTCTCCATCCCATTGATATGAAAAGTACAACTCACCAGGATAAATCTGTGAAGCTTCAGTCTCCACGCTTTGAAAGTTAGAATTAAATTCCATGATTTAATCTGAATTCTTAGAATGGAAAAATTTATTCCCTATAGGGTTTGGAGCAGAATGGAATAAGTCATTTTCCACATATTCTACAGCAGGCAGTTGAGAATTAGTTGTCTGTAAAATCTCCAGGGAAGTGAAGAAAATGGTGGAATGATTATAATTTTCATCAATGTTGAAGCTATAGGTATTCTCAGATGTCCCTTCAACTGGATTCATTGGTTGACAATGATCGACTGGAATTGAATCGATGGACTGATTGTTTTCAAACAAGGTTTTCATGAAATCCATTTCGTTATTGCATGATTCGAAACTGAAAAGTGGTGTAGAGTCTTCATTACTAGAGAGTCATGTGCCGACGTTGGATGGACTTGCTGCAGTGGAGGTGGAACCATTACTGAAATACTTTTTATGATGTAATCTTATAATAAGGTTCACTGTCTTCTATCTCCTTTTACTTTCTTTATCTTTCTCCTTGAAATCTGCCTCCTTTTTGTGGCATTCCAGTGATTCTTTATTGAATTTTCAGTTCTTCAAGCAATCTAATTTTCAGGCAATTCTAGGCAATTTCTGGGCATGGTGTGCAAGCAATGTTTGGGACGCGTCCTCACCACGTTAGGGGTGCAAGCAAATTTTCAACCAAATGAATGAAGCATGGTGTGCAGGCCATGTTAGGATACATGCATGTTCCCAGACATTCTGGGCAGTTTTGGGGACACGGTGCGTAGGCCAAATTCAGGACAAGTCATGGCCACGGAAGGGACGCAGCCTGATTTTCAAGCATTTTTCTACAGTTTTTGGGCACTGTGTGCAGGCCATGTCCGGGATGTATCCTGGACGTGACAGGGATGTAACCTCATTTTCAGGCATTTCTAGGCAGTTTCTAGGTCATGGTGCGCAGGCCATGTTCAGGACGCATCCGAGCCATGGCAGGGAAGGAGCTTGATTTTCAGGCATTTCAAAGCAGTTTTTTGGCAAGGCGCTCAGACCATGTTTGGGACACGTCATGATCGTGGTAGGAATGTAACCTGAATTCCAGGCAATTTCTGGGATACGATGTGCAAGCAATGTCCAATATGCGGCTAGGACACAGCCTGATTTTCATAATATTCTAGGCAATTTCTGGCACGTGATGTGCAGGCCATGTCCGGGACTCATCTAGGCCACCACAGGGATGCAGCCTGATTTCTAGGTATTTCTACGCAGTTTCTAGGACACAGTGTGCAGGCCATGACCTAGCCGCGGTAGGGACGCAGCCTAAATTTCAAGCATTTCTAGGCAGTGTCTAGGTCACAGAGTGTAAGCCATGTCCAGGATGCGGCAGGGACGTATCCTGATTTTCGGGTAATTCTAGACAATTTTTTGGTGCACGGTGTGCAGGCAATGTTCGGGACGCGCTGGGCTGCGGCAGGGATGCAACCAGATTTCCAGGGATTTTTGGGCAGTTTTTGGGACACAGTGTGCAAGCCACATACACGACGCGTCAAGGACGCAACCCGATTTTTAAGCATTTCTCGACAGTTTCTGGGAGACAGTGTGCAAGTCATAAATGGGACATTTCTGGGTGGTGGCAGGGACGCAGCCTGATCTTCAGGCATTTCTGGGAAGTTTTTGGGCATGGTGTGCTAGCCACTTCTGGGGCTTGCTTGATCGCAGTAGGGACGCCGCCCAATTTTTCGACATTTGTAGGTAGTTTGTGGGCACGGTGTGTAGGCCATGTCCAGGACGCGTCCTAGCCAAGGTAGGGATACATCCCGATTTTCAGGCATTTCTTGGCAATTTTTGGGACTCGATGTGCAAGCCATGTCCGGGACGCGTCATGGCCACGGTAGGGATGGAGCCTAATTTTCAAGTAATTCTGGGCAGTTTCATGGACACGGTGTGCAAGCCATGTCCAAGATGCGGCAGGGATGCATCCAGACTTTCAAGTATTTTTAGGCGATTTCTAGAACACGATGTGCAGGCAATGTTCGGGACGCGTCTGGTCCACGACAGGGATGCAGCCTGGTTTTCAGGTAGTTTTCGAGACACGGTGTGTAAGTCATGTCCAGGATGCTGCAAGGACACTCCTTGATTTTCACATTTTTCTATGTGATTTCTTGGACATGGTGTGAAGGCAATGTTTGGGACTCGTCTAGGCTGCGACAAGGATGCAGCCTAAATAGGGGGATACACAACAATTGTACGGGGAGGAGAAGGAACCGTAGTACACTGATCATAAGAATGGTCCAATTGTTTACAAGAGAACCAAAAAATTGGCCACTTCTAGTAAATAACTATCTGCCAAAAGCCACGATTATCGGCTTGTTCAATCCAAACCCTCTCGGGCAACTTATGCCCCAAATTCACCTCAATACACAACCTTACCTCACTAGGGCGTCTCAAGTCGGAGGTGGCCTCATCGAGTTTTAGTGCTTAGGGTTTAGGGTTTTTTTGCTTGAATTTCCCTTTAATAAGTTCTAACGAAGTCGCAAAATTCAGTTTTACTGATATTTGTAAAGTCATAGAGTGTTTAAATAAGCCAAAACACAATAATTATAGGATAATAATTATTAACTAGATTAGAAGAAGTCATTGTGTCTTAATTGCGGAGGCAGCTGAGAAGATGAAACCATGTCCATCAAATCTGTAACGCCCCGACCCCTAGTGTACTGGAACGCTACTTACTTTACTTAGCTTAACCGGTGGTTTAGTAACAAGTGCATACGTTTTAGCGGACGCTTACATCTTCGGATAATAATTTAATAACATTTCTTCAAATACTTTAAAGAAAAACACTGAATCATTTTTCAAAACAACAAAATGTAATTTATTTGAAGAAAACATAACTTGTTCTCGCATTCTGCGTTATTCAAAACTTTAAGAAAATAACATTGGAAAACATTTCATAAAAATAAATCCAAATCACTTATTCACCGGATTTCCATGGGCTCGTTGCATCACTCTCCATCTTCTCCTCCATCCATGCCCGAGGTAGAATTCTTTCAATCTGTAGAGATGGGATTAAACCCGTGAGTTGAAAAACTCAATAGGTGTCATAGGTACATTCGTGATCAAGCTATACATTTCAAAACATTAACTTTATAACTTTTCATACATGCCATACCCGGAGGTACCATTTGACATGAAGGGCTATGCCGTACCCGAGGGCACCATTTGACATACGAACATTTCTTCAACATAAAGGGGTATGCCATAGCGGAGTACCATTTGACATACAGCCATTAACATAGAGGGATATGTCGTACCAGAGTACCATTTGACATACAAACATTAACATGAATCGAAACTTATAACTTAACACGATTAAACACATTACACCTCTACCTACCTTGATTGATGCTTTTGAAACTTTGAAAACTTGGATTGAAAACTTCGATGAAATTTGGACGTTGAAAGAAATCCACTCCTTGGATGTTTGAAAATCGTTGAGAATTGATGTTTGAAAATACTTCTTAAACTTCTATGAAAAATAGTTTTCCTCCCTCTCTTTCTCTCTCTAAAAAACTCTTTCTTTAGTATGTAAAAGCTCTTGCTTTTGGTGTGAGAAAAATGAGTGAAATAAGGTCTCTATTTATAGGCAAATATCCCATAACTTAAAGTAAATGAAGGGTCAAATTTCATTTAAGAGAGAAAACATGGGTGCCATTTAATTTGAGGTTAAATGCTTCAATTTAGTGGGATTTTTATTGCCAAAAATGCGGGTGGTCCTTTGAGAAAATAATTGAAGAAAATAAATATTTAAATTCTAGAGAAAAATGAGGATTTTCATTTCAGACAGTTTTGGTCGACCAGTTGTAGTCCGGTTGACACTGCACAGCTTTCAGTGTTTCTGTCATAACTTCTTTTCCTGATATCCGATTGAGGTAATTCAAAGTGAGTTGGAAAAATAACTCAAAGAGCTACACTTTTATTTAGATATCATTTTCCAAATCGAATGTTTCCTATGTCGAAAATGGGTCTCAAATGAGACTAAAAATTCAAAGTATACTTTAGTCATCCAATATTCATGTCTTAGTGCCACTAAGGTGTCTAGAATTATTTGGAGTGCTACAAAATTCGTGTCCATTGCGCTTCCAAAGGTTGTACTTTGACTAATTGTTGGCATATTTGTTGTTAAATTTACGCTTTCAGCATTGCCTCCATCCCATTGATATGAAAAGTACAACTCATCAGGATAAATCTGTGAAGCTTCAGTCTCCACGCTTCGAAAGTTAGAATTAAATTCCATGATTAAATCTGAATTCTCAGAATGGAAATTTTTTTCCCCATAAGGTTTGGAGCAGAATGGAATAAGTCATTTTCCACATATTCTACAGCATGCAGTTGAGAATCAGTTGTCTGTAAAATCTCCAGGGAAGCGAAGAAAATGGTGGGTTGATTATAATTTTCATCAATGTTGAAGCTATAGGTATTCTCAGATGTCCCTTCAACTGTATTCATTGGTTGACAATGATCGACTGGAATTGAATCAATGGACTGATTGTTTTGAAATAGGGTTTTCATGAAATCCATTTCGTTATTGCATGATTCGAAACTGAAAAATGGTGTAGAGTCTTCATTACTAGAGAGTCATGGGCCAGCGTTGGACGGATTTGCTGCAGTGGTGGTGGTGCTGGAATTTGAGTTAGTGGAGGTGGAACCATTACTGAAATACTTTTTTATGATGTAATCTTATAATAATGTTGACTGTCTTCTATCTCCTTTTACTTTCTTTATCTATCTCCTTGAAACCTACCTCCTTTTTGTGGCATTCCAGTGATTCTTTATTGAATTTTCAGTTCTTCCAGGAATGTACTTAGCTATCTCTGGCCAACGATTTCCAAGTCTTTCATGTGCTTGAATTAACCGTCTCTCTTCATCGTCAGTCAAAACGTCCTTCTTGATATGAGAACGCAGATGATTATTCCATCGATTACGACACTGTTTTCCCACTCTACCAACCATTTCTTCAGCTATTACAGCCCATTTCCTCAATCCAAATTGATGTACTAAGCTAATCAGTCTCCTGTCTTCTTCACCTATCCACTGGCCTTTTATCTGATATCTAGAAGAAGAACTATTCTCTCTCTTCTCCTTTCGATCAGGATTAATCGGTACAAGTATCACATTTATTGAAAGTTTTTCACCCAATGTTTATTTTTCATGTTGAAGTCCTTCCATGAAGCTTGACTCTCCGGTGGTGTAATTACTGGTTGTGCCATTTGAAGAAAAATTTTGAAACTGATTTACTTCATTAGAAGGAAAATGGTTTAGGGTCTAGGGTCCAGAGTTCGGGGTTTAGGGTTCGGGGTTCAGGATCTGAGGTCCAGGGCTCAGGTTCAGGGCTTAGGATTTTTTTTTTTTTTTTTGGTAAAGAAAT